CTAGGATGGTGGGGTCTTTTTGAAACCTCCAAGCCCACCCCCAGGGACACACCTCCTCCCACACGGCCACACCTCCTAATCCTTCCCATTGCTACTAATGGGGACCAAGTATGAAATATATGAGCCTATGAGGGCCATTCTCCTTCAAATCACCACACCTATTTTTACCATCTCCAAACAATGCCATCGTGTTATAAATCTATCAAGAGATTGTTTCATTCCTTAGGTCAGAACCCTGGAGAGCAAATTATCTCTGGAAACACCCTCAGAGACACACCCAGAAAAATATTTGCTATCTATAATCTGGATGATTCTCAAGGCTGTCAAGGTAAATGATCATTGCCAGGAAGGCCAGCCTCCAGCAGCCCAGGATATGCAAAAAAAAAAAAAAAAAATGTGGTGAGGGCTAGACTTTTTCTATCTGAGGGCTAAGGAAGGAAAGAAATATACACTTTCAGGTGGTAACTTTCTCTTTACTTCATTTTGAAAAAAAATCCTTTCTGAAAATCTGTCTCCACTCAGCTACATCTCTCTCCACACAGTTACATCTCTCCTCTACACATCTCTCTACACAGCTACATCTCTCTCCCCACACTTCTCTTCTACACACACATCTCTTTCTTCTACAACACATCTCTCTCTTCTACACACACATCTCTCTCTTCTACACACACATCTCTCTTCTACATCACTCACTCACTCTCCACAGAACAAACTCTGGACAATATATGAATTACATTTTCAAGGTCACTTAGCATTTCTTGAGTAAACAATAAGACACAGAGCCATGAGAAATCACAGTTTCTCTCAGGCTAGGGATGTCACACTGACCAGCTGGAAGTGAGTAATCATGGCAACACTTGGCCATGCAGGTGGGAGGCACGTAGCCTGAGAGACATCATGGAGAGTGACACTGAAATTCAGGACCCAAGCAATAAACAGTTAGTTGGCCGAACCTTGAGTCTTATATCATAAACTGAAATATAGGCAGGACTAACAGAGAGGAGAAAAGAAAGAACAGGAAGGCGGAAGGAGACACTGCCAGCTGCGGCCAGGACAAGCAGCATGTGAAGACGCTGGTAAGGCATGAGCCACGTGATTTATGGAAATGGATTAATTTAAGATATAAGAACAATTAGCAAGAAGCCTGCCACGGCCAGTAAGCAATATAAGTCTCTGTGTGTTTACTTGGTTGGGTCTGAGCGGCTGCAGGATTGGTGGATTAGAGAGATTTGTCCTGACTGTGGGCCAGGAAGGACCAGAAAAACTCTAGCTACAAGGGATCCCACCAAGAGGCATTTTAGGGAGCATTCCCAAATGGTAACCCCAAGGGGTGCTGCTGTGGCAGCAACAGCCACGGATCTCCTTAACTTCACAAGCTTGTGCTCAGTCCCTCCTGCCAAGAAAGGGCCAGTGGACATAGGAACTGGCCAAGACACTCAAGGGCAGAATGGGTCCCAAGGCAGCAGGTTAGGAGACCAGGTCCATTGGGTAGGAAAAGACCAAGATTTCCCCAAGAACCCTGTGCATCCCTTAGCACCCTAGCACCCTCCTCTCAGCCAGTATCTGTGTTCCCTGCTGCTACATCCAAGCACAGCTCACCACCCAGGCACAGTGCCAGCTACCCTCTCGGGAGACTAGATGACAATCCTGACTGCAGCCCAAGGGGGTGCTCAGGCCACAGCTCCCAACCTGACCTCTCAGGCTTTCTAAGCTTTTTAATTGGTGTGTGTGTGTGTGTGTGTGTGTGTGTGTGTGTGTGTGTGTGTGTGTAGGTCTGAGGACAACTTACAAAAGTTGTCTGCTCCTTTTACCATATGGGTCCCAGGGATCAAAGTGAAGTCATCAGGCTTAGTGACAATTGCCTTTACCCCCTGAGACATCTCACAGGCCTGACCCACTTCCTGATTCCCATCTCTGGCCCCGGGCTGTTCTTTCACAGTGATATCTGCATCTGCCCTAGCCACCAGGGGACCATAAACTACCTCCCAGGCAGCTATGGAACTGGCATTTTCCTGGCCTTCTGGTCCCTGTGCTAGTGGGGCATCTCCTCAGCAGGGACCCCTGTGCCCTGATCTGAACAAAAATGAACCCAAGAGACCCTATAAACCATCTCCCCTACTGCCCTGACCTGAAGAGCTGGAAAGCTCTCTCCTGGTGAGTGCCATGTGGAATGTGCTTGCAGAATGAATATCTGCTGAGTCGAAGGGCTGATGGTGGAGGAAAGAACCAAGGAAACTGAAAAGGAAGCACATGGGCTGCGGTGTCCCTAGGGCCAAGAGGCTTTGGCTAAGGGATCGGATCACATGAGATAACCTGCTTCCCAGTGGCCCTGCCTGAGCTTTCTCAGCTGCCCTCAGACAGTGTTAGCTCTTTGGACCCCTGAGACAGAATCTGCCAAGTTCAGAAGAGCCTTGGCTGTCACCAGGTCCCTCTGAGGGGATTAACACCTTCTTCCCGGACCCCAATGTCTCAGTAAGCTGCCACCCCACGGGGCTCTTGAGAAAGTGGACAGTAACAGTTGGAAGTCATGTCCCAGCTGGACAGTGCATGAAAGAGTCTTTCACACGAGAAGAGGGTGGGCCACACTCCTCCCTGGTGTACCCCAGCCGGTAAGCACAGAGTTTGGAGGGAGCGCCAAGATGTGACAGATGGAGGAAACTCAGGAACATGGGAAGCATGCCATGGTCATAGTGATATCTGAATGAACGAATGATTGATCTGGAGATAGATACGAGCTGTTTACCTCAGCGGGGCTAACTGTGCGTATGGGACATGCTGTACCCTCTGAGGATCAGCCAGTCCTGTCCCATCTACACCATCACTGCAATCTCTGTCCCCATCTGTACATAGGCTGTCACCAGGCCCAGGGGGCCTATGGATGCCTCTGGAGCTGACCAGCCAGAAGGAGACAGCTCTGGAGAGTGACATTCCTGTCACAGCAGGCATAAGGAGTGACAGACACATGCACACCAGAGGAGACTTCAGGGAGGAGCCCATGTCCGTGGTATAAAGCACCAGAGATGGGGACTGGTGGAGGAAAATGAGGCTGGCTAGTGGCGGTTCTTCTGTTTGTGGGCCTGAGGCAAAGGGGACCTGGGACTCCAAGGGCTATGGGGACCCTGAGAAGGCCATTGGGCCAGAGGGGTATCCTGGGACAGGCTGAGGCTCCCCCCCAAACATTAGATAAAACTCCTCTCCCGTCTCCACCACCGCCTGAGCTGCAGCCTGAGCTCTGTCCTCCAGCTGAGGTATCATATACCCAGGCAGTTTCCAGGTTTCCCTGGGGGCACAGGACAGGGAAGGACAGAGGTTGAAAGCAACCCCTGCTTGTCACCAAACCAGAACTATTCACACCTAGAGGTGTGAGCTGGCATCTCACCTGCCCAGCCCAGGCAGGCACAGGCCTGACCCAGGCCTGCCCATAGCCCAGGGATTGGGCCTCACGCCTACCAGTAATGCTGAGATTCACTTCAACCCTACCAATGACCTCTAGGATTTACTTCACACCCACCCATGACCCTGGAGGTCACCCCATGCCACAACACATGGCCCCAATATTATCCCAGTCCTACCAATGGCCTCAAAATCTTCAGGAAGGGCTGCTCTGCCATTCCTAGAAGGAAGGGTGCCGAGCCAAGAGGACCTGGACAAGGCGGAGTTTCCAACTCTTGTTCTTGCTTCTGAGTGATGGGGCTGAGAGCAATGTAGACACAGGGGTGCCAAGAATCCGGTGACACTATGCGGGTGGCGTTTTCGAAAGTGGGAGGTATGTGGGGGCATCCTCTGGGTGCCTGTGGAAACTGAAGCTCATAGGCGTAGGAGGAACCACGAGGTGGGAAAATGTGTCCCGCTGCATCCGGTCTTTATTGTTTCAGATATAGACTCACGATAGAGAGACCAGCCCAGTCACAGAAGCCACCAAAGGATACCCTGAAAGGTGGCTGCAAGAGAGGCAAGAAAGACTCTTGTCCCTCTGACCCTGGAAATCCACAGTCCCCCAGGGAGTGAGAGGCAGCCCAGGGCCAGGAGACCAGAGCTTAGCTGATGGTCTTAATGCTGTGGGAGTTAGGAGGCTTCTGTGGGGGTGAGAGGGTCCCTGGAGAGCAGAGCATGGATGGGGTGCTTGTCTGCAGGTAGCTAGGCAAGGAGGGCACAAGAAAACGGTCCCTGTGAGAAGCTGCTCCAGCCTAGGAGCAGAGAGAGGGCAAAAGTTCCAAATATAGGGTTGGGACTGTTATGCCCAGATTGTGACCCCCGAAAGAGACCACCGAAGACCTTGGATGTCCAGAATGCAACAGCAAGGTTTATTCTGCAGATACAAGTCTAGACAGGGACTCATTCCTACACCCAATACAGTGAGGCAGGGAGGAGTCCCTCTTTCTTGGGGAAGTTAGTTTTTATAGGCAAAACCCATAAAATTTCTTAGAGGGGAGGGGGTTAGTACGGGTCCATCCTTGATTGGTCCAGTTTTTCCCGGGCCTGGACTTTATCTTATTTTATCTTATCTGTTTGCCCTGTCAGGAGTTTTACAACTCATCTCCTGGGTCTGGTCATGTTATCTCTGGAGAGGGGCATCTCGCGGTTAATTGGTTACCATAAGACATCCTGACTCTGTTCTTTTGTTCCTGGGGCTGGCGCCATCATTTCTGGGGACTTGAAACTTGCCTGGGTCTATCTATATTGAGATATCTTTGTCTAAGGCCCCCTTTTTGAGACAATAGAGTGAGGGTCTTCTTGTGCCTAGATCATGTCCCCAAAGCCGCCACTGGAGACTTTAGGTACAGAATGCAAAAGTAGGGTGTTTTCTAAGTTTACAAGTCTCCAGGGAGGCTCTTCCAAATCTCTCACTCACAGCAGGGAGGTTGGAAGGAGGTTGGAAGGAGCGCTCCCCTTTCTTTGTGAGGCTAGTTCTTAAAGGCACAGACCATATAATTTATTTTAACCCGCCTCCCTTTTTAGTCTTTTGGTCGAATATCCTGACTGTTTTCCAAAGTCCCTGTAGCAGATGCAGCCACCTGGGGAAAAGGGGTCTAAGTTCTTATCTACACTTAGGAATCCTGGTTTAAGCTTCTCTTTGTCTGTAGGGGATAGAGTGGGGGGTTTTACTGAGGTATCACAGGGACAATGAGGTTGCAGGTTAGGGCCCCAGGAAGAGGAAGGTGCTCGCCACCGATGCCAGCAATAGGCCAGAGACTGAGGTGTCTGCAAGGCTCAGAGAGAAACTTCTTGTTTCTAGGGCCGAGTTCCACATTGTGTTTGCGATCCATGAAGTGTAGACGCTGACATTGGTGTAAACACCTGGTCTCTTGGGAAGGGCACAGTCAGATCCCCAACTCACCACCCCGGCCTGGATCCAGACACCGTTAATGTCACAGACCAGGGGACCTCCGGAATCACCCTGAGGAGAAAGGGGGTCCATAGGTGTTAGGATTGCTTGAGCCCGCTGCCTTTGTTATACTGGTAGGAAAATGAAGCGCTCTCCCCACCTGACTCTCTTCATCACAGCAGACGGAATCAGTGAACTGGAAGTTTCTAGAAGGTTGCAGATGGGTGAGCTGAGAACTGAAGGGAGTGTGACCCCTGGTGGTGGGATCACAACCTGTCTCTAACTATGAACTTCTGCCACAGCTGTGTGTTCAGAGCTGGGGGGGGGGGGGGGGACATTTCAGAGCCGCCGCCAATGCTGCTTCTCAGTTTGTTTGGTTTTTCTCTAGAATTCTCTTTGAAGTAACAATCAAGAGGTGTTAGGCAGTCAGGTGTGTAGAAGAGAGAAGGAGAAAGGATAAACCCAAGCCAGCTTGAGCGTGGCCTGCTCCTCCTCGTGGAAAATGCAGTCAAACACTCTTAGTGTTAATTCAGTGTCTGTCTGTCTGTCTATCTGTCTGTCTCTCTCTCCCCCTCCATCCCTTCCCCCCTCCCTCCCCCTCTCTCTGCCCCTCTTCTCTACTGAGGGTGGAGCCCAAGGCCTTCCAAACATTTGGTAAACACTCTACCACTGGCCCACACCCCCAGCACTCTGATCACATTTATTTTATTTGGCAGAGGGAGGCATGTGGGGGAGAGGTGTGTACCCTCCTGTGTGTGCATGTGGAGGCCAGAGGTCAACACTGGGTGCCCTTGGTCACTCTCCACCTTATTTTGAGACAGGGTCTCTGACTGAACTTAAGAACATGCATTTTGATCAGACTGGCTGGCCAGCAAGCCCCTGGAACCGGCCTGTCTCTGACCCCCTCCCCACACTCTGCCCCTGGTGTTGGGATTATAGACTTGTGCTATCGCACCCGGCTTTTTATCTTTTTCTTTTAATACATGGGTACTTAGGGTTCAAATTCAGTTCTTTGTGCTTGTGATGCAACAATGGACCATCTTCCCAGCCCTCTGAGCATATTTATATGATATTTGAAAGGGAGATAGCATCTGGGATTTCTTTGAGGTGTGTGTGTGTGTGTGTCTGCGTGCGTGTGTGCGTGTGTGCACGCGCACGTTGGTGATGGTGGTGTACTGTTGTTTCAAAGATGCTGAGCCCTCCTGGAAGGTTCTCAGTGTGATGGGGAGAGAAACGGCCTGCCCACTGGGGTTACTGGTGAGGGGGCACTGTCTGGACAGGACTCACTCACATTACAGGCATCCTTCCCGCCTTCCTCGAAGCCAGCACACAGCATGTCTTCGAAGATGACAAGCTTCGTGCTGGAAACGGAGTTCTCCTGGTAGTAGGCATTGCAGGTTTGGGCATCAATAAGAGGCACCTGCAGCTCCTGCAGGGTAAACGGTGGTGGGAGTGCTAGAGTTGGGAGAGAGCAGAGTTAGGGGAGGGGACGCTCCATCTCCTCCCAGCTCCCTGTTTAACTGAACCTTGTGGCCAAGGTCATTTCTTCTGCTCCTTTGAGCAGGGCTTTGTTTCCCCACATGAACTCCTGAAAGCTTTGCGAAGGTGGTATCCTCAGTCACAAACTGGGGCGATCTTTGCTCTTCCTCTCCCTGCTGGGCACACACTGGTGTGTGATGGCTCTGTGGGTCTCAGCTTCTCTTCCAGTGTCAGGGCAATGGAATGGGATGCACATGGGGTGAGGGCACAGCTTCAGGACACTGGCCTATGGTCAAATCACATCCACTACATGTCCCTATTCTTCTCACATTTCAAATATCAAGTCAAAAGGTGACTTAGGGGCCGAGTGGCTTAAATAATGTGGCCCCAAAGTCATGTCTATCCAAAACTTCAGAATGTAACCTTAGCATCAAGGAGACTTGCAGATGTGACTGACTAAGGTGGGGTCACAGCAGATCAGGATGAGAGGCTCGTAACAGAGAAGGGACCTGGGGAGACACATGGCGGTGGAGATCTGTGAACCCCAAGGCCAAGACAGGAGTGATGCAGGCAAGAACCAAGGATTGCCCAGCACTGGCAGAGGTTGAGAGCCAAAGAGGGGTCCTCCCTAGAGTCCTGGAAGGGATAATACCTCCATTTCGGGTTTCTGGTCTCCTGAACTGAGAGTGAACACCTATCTGATTCACCATCAGCCTCAGGACACTAAAACAAGATGAGATGACAAATATGACGACAGTGATGAGGACCATGGTGATGACAGAATTAAAGGTGCCTTCGAAAGCAGCATGAGTGGGCCTGGGGCATTAACCCCACAGGGCAGCACTCTTGAGAGCTCACTGACAGGAAGAAGAACTAGGACCTCATCAGGTAACACAGGCAAAACTGAGCCCCTGGCGAGCACTGTCCCCAAGGGCCTTGGCAGCAAAGGTAACGGGAAGGTTGTAATGCAGGCTGGATCAGCATCCCGCAGGCTGGATCAGCATCCCTCAGCCCATTGCTAGCCATAACACTATCCCTTCGGTTGTTAGATCTCAGGAGGACATCTGTGGGCTGGCAGCATCCAGCTGGTGATGAGCTATTGTGGCACTGTTTCAGGGCACTCTGTGGTGAACATCCTTCGCATAGACTCCATATGGGTCCTGTCTGAGGGTGGGGGCTGGCCTGAGGGAAGGTGACCCTTGCTGAACACACATTTCTGCTCTCCCCCTATCCTGCCACCAGCTCCAAACATTCTTACGTTGATTTGTGGCCGTGCGTCCCCAGCCAGTGACCCAACACAAGGTGCCGGGGTCCAGGGGATCTCCAGGTTTTGGGAGGCAGACTGGAAGGATGTAGTCACTGAAGGAGACGGATGAAGCCAGCTGCACCAGGGCAATGTCTCCACTACTGTGCTCATTTGCTGAATAGCTTGGGTACTTGATACACTGGACCACTTCTTTCAGTTCCTTGGGCTCATTGGGCCCAGGGTAAGAGGAGATGGTACCCAGCAGTACTCTGTAGGCAGACAGGGGCTGGTCCCTGGGGAGAATGGGAAGGTCAAGGGTGAAAATGAAAGACCATCTTTATGCAGAGGCTCTACTATTGCTATTTTATAAATAATAAACTGGGCTTTTCCGGGAGCTAAGCACATGGGAGCAATGTCAAGCACCCCTTTTAATGGCCACCATTAATGATCATTAAGTCTATCATCATTTCCTCCATTTTTCAGGTCTGGAACACAACTAGCAAAGTCAAGCCACCCATCCGAAGGCTGGGGCTGGGAGATGGGTCGGTGTGCAAGGACATTTGTGGTACAAGCATAAAGACTTGAGTTTGGATCCCACAACACACGTAAACGGCAGGCCCAGGAGCATACACATCTGCAATCCCAGCGTGTCCCTAGGATAGGTGGGAGGTGAAGACAACTAGCCAGGTGTTGGCAGCAGTGGACAAAACCCTGTCCCAAAAGGCAAGGTGAAAGGCAACGACTGACCCTGAGGTTGTCCTCTGACCCGCACACTCTCACCGTGGCATGTCTGTGCCCTCACACACGTGAACGCATACTTCACACATGCACACATACATACACAAAGACCTTGGGTTCTCAAGGGCTGCTTTTCAGGAACTGTTGAGTGTGTGTGTGTGTGTGTGTGTGTGTGTGTGTGTGTGTGTGTGTTGGGGGGGGTTGTGTTGTGTGTGTGTTGGGGTGTGTGTGTGTTGGAGGGGTGTTGGTATATGCGTGTTGGTGTGTTGTGTGTGTGTTGGTGGATGTGCATGCTTCTGTGCATGTACAGAAAGCAGAGAATGATATCAGAGGCCCTGCTCTATCTCTATTGCTCTTGACTTTGAGGCAGGGTTTCTCACAGATCCGAGAGCTACACTGGAAGTCAGCAACCCCCAGAGATCCTGCTGTCTCCCCATACACCCCCAGTACTGGCCACACCTAGCTTTTTACACAAGTTTGGGCAGGATCATTGAACTCAGATCCTCAGGCTTGTACAGCAAGCCCTCCTTCCCTCTGAGCCATCCCTCCACCGAGAGTTGATTCTTGGGAGTAAGACTAGGTGGCTGAGCCTCAGGGCCAGCCCAGAGACAGGTAGACAGGTAATTTCGATACTAGAGAGAAATGGCCCTGCCTTGTCTCCTGTCATAGTAGGCAGAGGCTAAGGTTCAGATGGAGAAATGAGGGCGTCTGGAATGTAGGGAAGTCCAGGCGGCACCAGCCCATGTGACCCTCATGGAGACACTCACTGGCTGAAGCAGTGGGCAGCAGTCAACACCCAGTTCTCAGCAACCAGGGAGCCTCCACACACGTGCTCCCCATCCTCCCTCAGGCTGACCTGCCAAGGCCACTGGCCCGGCTGGGCATCCTGCCCCGACACGATGCGGCCTGAAGCCCTGGGACGTCCACACACTGCAAGAAATCAGCAGAACTGGGTGACACAGGGCTGCCCCGCCCGCCCGTCCGCCAGAGTACTCTCAAACCTGGCTTGTCAGAGCCCCTGGGGACTTGACCAGTGCGCACCAGAGGATGCCCCCCCCCACCATGCCTGGCTCCTA